CAGTAATGGTTCGAGCTTTAAAAAGTGAGCCTTAGGTTTCAGTGAGAATAGATAAATGGATGGATGGATGGAGGAAATAAGAGATGGATAGATAGATAGATAGATAGATAGATAGATAGATAGATAGATAGATAGATAGATAGATAGATTACTGGTTCTGTTTATTGATCTTTCTCATAACGAATCAAAACGCCAAAGACAATGGGGCCCCAATCACAAAGCGGCGTCTTGGTCACTATTACATCTTGAGAGTCACCAATAACACACAATAAGTATTAATATTATCGTATACACCTTCCATCAAGTCTTACACACACACACACACACACACACACACACACACACACACACACACACACACACACACACACGGATCTTATAACACGCTAACCATAGACTCTCGTAACGAATGCAAAAGTTTTCGTATGAACTAATGGCAGTAAACATCGGCTGGGGGATACGGAGGGAGGAGTCCATTCAGTAGTCTATTCCTCGCTGCCAACCTTTATACAGCCCTCAATCATCTCTCCTCCAAGGCTGTTATAAAATGAGCGTGTAGCATATATATAAAACAGATCTGGGTCAAGCCTTGTAGGTTGATACGGTGGCCCAGTGGTCAGTCTTTCTCTCTCTCTCTCTCTCTCTCTCTCTCTCTCTCTCTCTCTCTCTCTCTCTCTCTAAAACTCTTTCTTTTTGCTCTTTATTTGTTTGTTTATTTATCAAGGACGAGGAGAAAGATGATGTGGGATAACTGTTTATTCTTTGCTGGAGAGATTCTTGCATCTATTGTACCCTCCCCACCTCCCAGCACACACACAGACACCCTCCACCTAAAAGAATTCAAACCTGTTTCAATTTCCACATGTAGATCCTCATGCCATCGCCTTTAAGATAAAGAGGTCAGGCTACTCTCTGAAACCCGCCATCTGTAACACTCCTCCGCTACCTTGAGAATACCTCCCCCCACCACCACCACCACCTGTAGCCTATCGACTACCTGTGAACACTCTCCCCCACCTATAGCGCCTCGACCTACTTGTAGAAGCCCACCACCTTTAAGGACGTAAAGTAATCGGTTTAGATTGAACTCAACTTGGCATATAGGCTCAGTGAATAAAAAAGTATCTCTCTTGCGTATTTTTTTCTCTAATGTATAAGAAAGTCACAAATCTATTTTCTTCTGTTCGTAACCTTCAAGAACTGGTATTATTGGTATTATTATTATTATTGATTTGATATTTTGATGATGGTAAATGTGAAGGATATTAATTTATGGACTGTATGGTGGAATATATTAATAATGCATCCTTTGAGGTCTAGGCGAGATGCATGCGGGAAATAACATAGCAGTATCAGTTATGAGTGAGGTACATCAGTTAACATTAATTAAAGTCTATTATGCAATATGGAGTGTAATATAGCTCAGTGAAGTCCAGGGAACAAGTACCATTAATTATGTGATATATGAGGCAATTGTCATTAGTCTGAGCGTGATATTTGAAACATCGAGTATTATTAATTAAAAAAAAAAAAAGTTTACCTCATCATGGAAGTATTTTGTGTGGATTATGTATACTCGGGGGGGAAAAAAAGTTCACTCCCCGTGGTGAAAATGAGTCACGGGAATGAGTCACCGAACTGACTTACCCTGACTCATTTGGGATCGACGCCGCTTCATTTTTGGAGGGACATGAACTTTTGATCCCGACTGTACCGTGAGAAAATGTTATAAAGTTTCATTGTACAGCACTTATATGCGCCAGTAATTAAAGATAAACAGAATAAAAGTAAAAAAAAAAATAGTACTATTTTGTAGTAGACGTGTGTGTACAGTATTACGTTAAGTGACAGATATTCATGAGTACATTACATAATATCAAAAATTTATTACATTAGGTGAAGTCTGTATTGAGTCTGATTGTCGACACCTTGAGAGCTTAAAAAGGACGATAATTTAAAGTAGAAAAATTAGGCAACTTCCACGTGATGTTTACAATAATAATAATAATAATAATAATAATAATAATAATAATAATAATAATAATAATAATAATAATAATAATAATAATAATAATAATAATAATAATAATAATAATAACAAACTTTATCTCAGAATAAAAATCCATTAAAACCTACCATTAAAAAAGCTTAAAAGTGTGGGCTAAGCTAGAGGTGGGTTAAGCTTGACGGCGACTTGAATCAATTATGTCTTAAGGGTAAGTAAGCTGGTTCAGAAAGGTTGAAATTGATCCCCGAGTTGAGTTTGATGGGTAAAAGAGATGATATATTGAAGTAGACAGACAGACAGACAGACAGACAGATAGACAGATAGATAGATAGATAGATAGACCATAAGATGAATAGACAGATGAAGTGACAGGTGAGGACAGGTAGACAGGTAGACAGTTAAGAGGCGACATATAGAATCAGAGGAGGTAATACCGTAGATTTGTTTTGTGTTGTGAGGCCAATGACAACCCTGTCTTACCTCTCACCTCATACCCCTCACCCCCACCCCCACCCCACCCCTCACCCCACACCCTCACCTCTCACACCTCACCCCCTACACCTCACCTCACACCCTCACCTCCCATCCTCACCTCTACACCCTCACCTCACACCCCACCTCTCACACCTCACCTCTCACACCCTCATTTCACAACCTCACTTCCTCCTCCTTCATTACACCTCCACCATCTCTCTAGTCTTCCATCAATCTTTCCTCACCTCCCTATCCTCTCTACCCTCCCTCCTACCCCACCCTCCCACCCTCCTACCCTCCCCTCCTACCCCCACCTCCTCCCATCTCTGCTCCGCCTCTCCCTGTGACCACACACATTTTCATTAGTTAATTAAGTTACTTGATAATTGTGAAGATCTCATCGTGAAGCGAAGAGGTGAAGTCTTATGTATGTTAACAAAAAACAGCAACAATACTCGGTCTCTCTGTCTCTGTCTCTGTCTCTCTCTTTGTATTTCTGTCTCTCTGTCTCTCTGTCTGTCTGTCTGTTTGTCTCTCAGCTCCTCGGTGAAGCTGTGTACATACAGTGGCTTACGAGCTGATAGGACGGGGATAAGGAGCTCATGAGATTAATACACTTTGCTATGTACTTAATCAGTGCTTAGTATGGTTCACTAGGAAGGTGCGCTCATCATCCTAGGCATGAGAAAGAGAGAGAGAGAGAGAGAGAGAGAGAGAGAGAGAGAGAGAGAGAGAGAGAGAGAGAGAGAGAGAGAGAGAGAGAGAGAGAGAGAGAGAGAGAGTGAGAGAGAGAGAATGTTCGCGAGGTCAGAGATGTTCACAAGATTATAGTCACCAACCTAAGCAAGTTGAGCAGAAAGTTATGTTCACCACACCACAGGTAGTTCAGTGTGAATATATGTTCAATTAGCCCCGGAAATGTTCAATGGAAAGGAGTTTTCTTTGGCCAAGAAATGTTCAACAGCTTAAAGAAGTTCGCAAGTTCAAAAAAATCCTGAAGAAGACAGAGTAGTTTAATAAATGTTACCATAATATATGTACCCCCGTATATCTTCATGTAGTGGTACCCCTGTTAGCATGATATATATACCCCCGTATACCTTCATGTAGTGGTACCCCTGTTAGCATGATATATATACCCCAGTACCTCTAAGTAACAGTAGTATCGTTGCTAACTTGATTTACTGCATCTTATACTTCCAGGTTATGGTGGCAGCCCTCCTATTGTAATGAATGTACCGCACTTTTTTAAGAGGTAAATTGTAACCCGTACCTAGTGAAGCCTTCCAATCATTGATGGTCTCCCTAAGATGGTTTCTAACCCTGTGACAATCGGTGAATGAGAAAACTGATGACCCTATCGTTCTTTTCGTGTGCAGTCGACATTGACGGATGAACGACCCCAGTGAGAACAAAGGTCAGGAGAGAGAGAGAGAGAGAGAGAGAGAGAGAGAGAGAGAGAGAGAGAGAGAGAGAGAGAGAGAGAGAGAGAGAGAGAGAGAGAGACACCACTAAGGTCATCACATCATTAGGTATTGATAGAGAGACACCTCTATGTGTAATTACCTCCCCAACGACTTTAACATGTTATCCAGTGCCCCTTCTATCACTCAGATAAGTTAATAGACACTCTACCTCCAAAACAGTGTATAATAGCCTTATAAATCCTATTATCCATCTTTATATCGATTTCAATCCTATTTTCTCAACTCGTCACTCTCTTGTTTTCAAATTTTCTCAGACACTCCCGGTTCTTATAACTTAACCATTCATCTCTATACCAACTCTAATATTTAATCTTCTCATCAGAATATCAAGCCTCACATGACACACGAGAATAGTAAAATAGTAATAATTAATTTTAAATCACGTAATGGAAAAATAAAATCCATACGAGATTAAAACACAACAATAAAAACATGGAAAAATAAAATCCATACGAGATTAAAACACAACAATAAAAACATAAAAAAAAGATAAATAACCCCAAAGAAAACATTTAGAAGAACGTGATTTATTTCATATTAAACACAACACAACATAATACGATGATGGCACCAAATCAACTCAAAGGTCGTGCCATTTTGTTATCCATGTTATTGCTTCCTCTGTGTGCCTGTGTGTGTATATGCATATTTCTGAGTGTTTCTGTGTCTATTTGTGCGAATTTGTGTATTTCTGTGTGTGTGTTTCTGGGTGTTTCTGTGCGTATTTGTGTGTGTGTTTCTACGTGTCTGACAGTTTCTTGTTTCGTGTCGGCAAATCTTTCGTTGCAATGTTTCGATCTGATATGAGAGCTGTTGGCGGTGACAGGGGGCAAAAGGGAAGGGGAAGGAAGGAAGATTGAGGCAGATAGGGAAGAGGAGGAAGAATAGGAAGAAGAGGAAGAGAGGAAAGATGAAGTAGTAGTAGTAGTAGTAGTAGTAGTAGTAGTAGTAGTAGTAGTAGTAGTCGTAGTAATAGTATGAGTATGAGTAGAAGAAGAAGAGGAAGGGGAAGAGGAAGATATAAGCTGTACCCGGAAGTCTATGCCGACAGTAGAGATGAAGGAGCCGCTGAGGAAGGTGCCATCCTTAAACCTTGTCAGGATACAGGTCTTGCCCACACACGAGTCGCCGATCAGCATCACCTGTAGTAGACGCAGAAGAAGGAAGGGTTTAATTAAGGCAGGTGTTCAGGGTCGTGGTTATTATATAGTGAAGATATACAGTACAGGTAATATAGGTGTGTAATAACTCTGACACACATACATACATACATACATACATACGTACATACATACATACATACGCACATACATACATACGTACATGCATACATACATACGAACATACACTAAACATTTCTTAACTAGCTAAAAATGATGAAAAATCCCCCCCCCCCACACACACACGCACACGCACACACACTCACACACACACAAAGCAAACACAACACAGTCTCTCATAAAACGGCCACACATCCTCACCAACTGGGGTCACACTTAACTCCCCTTCCTTAACTGAGGTCAAAGTTAACTACTCTTCATTAAATGGGGTCACACTTATCTGCCCTTCCTTAACTGGGGTCACACTTAACTACTCTTCCTTAACTGGGGTCACACTTAGCTCCTCTTCATTAACTGGGGTCACACTTATATATCCTTCCTTAACTGGGGTCACCCTTAGCTCCTCGTTAACTGGGTTCATTGAGGACTGAGTTAATCACACTAAAGCCAGGGATGAGTTAAGTGTAATCTCGTCACCTCAGACTTGCTCAAGGGCCGTCACTCCAAGACAATTCATTTCACGGATCCTTGACTTCTGGGTCATCGTGTGTGTGTGTGTATGTGTGTGTGTGTGTGTGTGTGTGTGTGTGGAATACTATAGTGTGTGTGCGTATGATGAAGCAATGTATAGTTGTGTAGTGTATATACGTGTAAAAGTTACAATGTATATATATATTTATGATCTCTTTAGGTCTATACTTTTACGTAAAATTCCCCAAATTCCCTTAAAAAAAAAATCTCTTACGTCAATTTCTTCCTCTTGTAACTAAAGCCGTAACTCTCCACACCTCAAAATGGCACCAAAGCTACACTGAGACTCTAGTATAGCTTTGATACCGCCCTCTTATCACAGAGCAGGGAATATAATTAACGTAGAGACAATGGGAATTAAGACGCCAGGCTGTTTGTTCGCTTGACGTGATAAACTGTCGTGGGAGTTGAATATTACCCTGAGTGACTGTTTGTCTTGTCTGTTATATACGTCTGGCTGTCTGTATGAAGGCATTTGGGTGTGTGTGTGTGTGTGTGTGTGTCTGTGTGTGTGTGTGTGTGTGTGTGTGTGTCATTATATATAACTGTTTACATGACTGTCTGTATCTCTGCTCAACGACGTGCCTGTCAACCTCGGCTTCATCTAACTGTCAGTGTGTTTGTTGAACTGTTAGCGTGATTCTGTCCATGGCTGACTTAATGAATTCATCCAATCACTCTGAATTTAAAGAGTCAGTCGCTGCCAATCATTCAGAACTTTGACAATCACATCTAATCACATACAAGTTATAATTCAATGCTATTAAAAATAAATAAACACAAAAGACTGTTAAAAACTTTTAGATTTTCTATATACAAAAATAAAATTCTCTCTTTCTTTCCTTATATAAAAAAAAGAAAAAATACAAAGCTATTATTTATCCATATTTTTTTTTCGACATAAAACAATAATTATTTAGTTTTAACCTTTGTTAGATATTAAGAAATGAATTAATTTATTTAGGAATTTTATTATTATTATTATTATTATTATTATTATTATTATTATTATTATTATTATTATTATTATTATTATTATTATTATTATTATTATTATTATTATTATTATTATTATTAGAATTATTATTACCTAAAATCTCATAGTGCAAATAGGAAAGATTACCACATAGTAAGCTAAGACATCGTATAAAAAGATAAAACATTGCATAGTAAGCTAAACACAACCTCTAGTAAGCTTGAAAATCACGCAGACAGATAAAACATCACACAACACCACATAAAGCACTCAATACCCTACATGTGCAACTTAAACGCCACACAGTAAGATGGAACACCACATGGAAAGCGAGAACATCACATGGTGAGAGCTAAAACCACATAGAAAGCTATACAACATAGTGTAAGCTAACGAATCACATATCACAGTTATTGCCAGTAAGCTAAAATATCACTTAACAGACTAATACATAACATGATAACTTAAAAATCACATAATTAGTTCAAATATCACATAAGCAGCGAAAACATCACAAAAGCTGCTAAAACATCACATTAATCAGCTAAAAAATCACATTAATCAGGTAAAACATCACATAATCAGCTAAAATATCACATAAGCAGCTAAAACATCACAGAAGCTGCTAAAACATCACATAAGCTGCTAAAACATTACATAATCAGCTAAAACATCACATTAATCAGCTAAAACATCACATTAATCAGCTAAACATCACACAATTAGCTAAAATATCATATTAATCCTCTAAAACATCACATTAATCAGCTAAAACATCACATAAGCTGCTAAAACTTCACATAAGCTGCTAAAACATCACATTAAAAGCTAACACAATACTGTTTATGAGTAAATTAGTACAATACTTTAAGCTAAATGACTGATCTTGAATTTCAGATGTTATGAATATTTTAGTATTGGAAGTAGCGTTGTGCACCTAACGTTATGTGCGGCTTATCGCCAGAACCTACTTAGACACCACATACTGGGAATCATACTCAGGTCCCAGATGTGTGTGGTTTTCGATTTCTCCTCCTCACCGCCCAGCCCGGGACTCCTATTCTATCTCGTAAACTCAATCCATCACTTTGACAAGATTGGACGTAATCTCGGAATTTAATTAAGTCGTGAAGTATCAGTAAAAATTATCTTAACTTTGATAACGGCAAGAAGAATTTCCATTTAATTGTTTTATTTTATCTTATTTTTGTATATTTGGACAAACTAATTGGGTGAGTGAATGTTTTTATTTGAAAGGTTGTTTTTAGAGGTTCACTTGTGTCACGAAACTGTTTTGGAGTTTAGTGAGTTTTAGAAGTTAATTGTGTGTGTGTGTGTGTGTGTGTGTGTGTGTGTGTGTGAGAGAGACACCAGTTTGATATGACATGAGGAATGTACAAGTGACTTAATATCAGACTTTGATTAAATCGTTATTGAGTGTTTAATGGCGGTATATATCTACCTCAAGTCCACCATATACCGCAGGGCAAAATAATAGAGAGAGAGAGAGAGAGAGAGAGAGAGAGAGAGAGAGAGAGAGAGAGAGAGAGAGCATGTTAGGTTTCTTTGAAGCTACGCACGACTTCGCTTCATGATATCTGAGCTTCCCAATTATCCAAACAATTTTATTAACTTATGAAGATATGATCATCAATTGTTCTCACTGTGTGTTGTAGCTCAGCGGAAAGATGTAACAAGGTGAGACACTCAGGTTACATCCTTCCCTTAACGTAAAGGTTTTGTTTTTACTCATCTGTGGAGTAAACAGTGCAGTACAAAATAACAAAACAAAGCATCACGGCTTATCTTCTACTGTTTATTTCCAGTCTTACAGTACACGTTCTCTGGGCACAGTAGATTAACAAGAGAGGAAAACTAGGTTAATAACTTTTCTTAAATTGTGCAAAGTTAGGTCTCAGTGAACGTATTTTAAGTAAGACTGGAAACTGTGGGTTGCAGTGTATCAACTAGAGAAGGTGAAGAACACTCACCTTGAAAGTGTGGTCACAGGTCTCGAATTGGGAGACTCTACGGATGCTGTGTCGTCGCCAGTCGCCTTCCTCGTTGCGGAACTGCACATAGGCTCCGTTGTTCCTCGGTGTCCTCCTCTCCGCGACCGCCTTCTGGGACTCTGGATCTTTCCCGCCCAGAGAACGAACCCTCGCTAGACCGCTTACCAGACTCCTTCTGAAGGTGACGGAGTTAAAGCCTTCTTCTTGCTTGTCTTGTTTCGTCTCTCCTTCATCTTCTACTTCTTCGTGAATCTTCAGTCGTGGAGGTTTCTTTGGACCATGTCGATAATTAAAATAGGAGACGTCGCTGGTTGCGTCACGGCCATTTTTCTCCGGGAGGTCGAAAATGACAGAATTTCTCTTTGGTTGATACTCTTTTTTCTCTTCTCGGAGGGACTTGGCTCTTCTGAGGTCAACTCTACGGGGGATATCTGAGTCCGAGTTGATGGTAATGACGCCATTCTGGGAAGTCATCTGCGGCCGCACTACCCGAGTATTGTTACGCCTCAGTTCGTAATCCGAGTAGCTGTAGCGGCGGTCGTCTGTGTGGCCATTGCCGCCGCCGGAATGAGGCAAGTTGGTCTCTACGCTCATGCCGCCGCCAGAGATATAAGGCTACAGGGAACTGTGGGAGGCGCTGAGGAAGGAGCGAAAAACTAGACGATAAGAAACGATAAGGAACGAATCGAGAAGCTTCGTAATAATATGAGTGAAAGTCTGGTAAGAGGAGTAAGGGAAAAGGGATAAGTGGTAAGGGACTGGCGAGTATTGATAACAAAGATAAATTTAAGAAAGTGGAAGTAGATTTATATGATGAAGAATGAAGAGTAAGAAAAAATCTTTCTGGTGTCTTCCACTATATATTTTATCACGCATTTCTCTCACCAATAAACTATACTTCTGATCAACACTCAGACCAGCACAAGATCCAACACTGTAAACACTAGTTCCTTTCTCCGTCCACCACAAAGACAACAACACAACTACACTCATTCTATTTCCGTCAACTGGTGATTGCAGAGAAGAAAATATCAAACAAACTTTGTATTTATTTCATCGTTAAGTTCCGCAAACACTTAAGCAAATGTTTTCGACGAGTTTTTTCTCCAGTAATGTTTCCTGAGATCTCGTGGTGTCAGTGCAAGCGAGTACCTCATGTTGGCACTAGATGAATGTGGCGCTTGTGGTAGAGATGGTGATAGTAGAGGTGGTGATGGTGAAGGTGGTGGAGGTAGTGATGGTGGTGGTAATAGTGAGGAGGTGGTGAAGGAGGCGGTGAAGGTGGTGGTGATGGTATAGTGTAAGTGACCCCCCCCCAAACGGAAATCTCCTAAGCGAGTATTTTGTTTACCCTGTTGTTCTTATTGGTGTTGCGTCACACACACACACACACACACACACACACACACACACACACACACACACACACACACACACACACACACACACACACACACACACAGCCGGCTCCTCCAACTCCTGCCATCAATCACTCACAGATCACAACAAGAATGAATTTTCCAGCAGAATTTTCACTAAGTAATATACGTCAAGTACAAATCCTACACAAATTCGATCACTTTCCCATCACTTCCCCTTCACTTTCCGACCAGTCTCACCAATTATCACTTTCACCCTCTGAATATGTAGCTACAATAATATTAATGCATTAAATTTAGTTAAACGTGTGAACAAACTTATGCATTGATATGTTAAATTAAAGTAGGTTAAAACAGACCCACACCTTGATCCCTCCCACGTCACACATGCATTACGGATTAAATACACGTGTTAAGGAGGAATTGTAAAGCTTGGTGATAAAGAGAAATAGAGAGAGAGAGAGAGAGAGAGAGAGAGAGAGAGAGAGAGAGAGAGAGAGAGAGAGAGAGAGAGAGAGAGAGAGAGAGAGAGAGAGAGAGAGAGAGAGAGAGAGAGAGAGAGAGAGAGAGAGAGAGAGAGAGAATTGCAAGATACGTCACGTCAGATGAAATTAGGTTAATTTTACGGAATATAAGACTTCTCATAACACACACACACACATTTGTACATATAAATGCCCTTGGCGCTTTTATTGCAAGTGAGAGTGTATGTTACAGGGGAATTTATGGCAAGTTACAGGAGTTAGTTATGTGAGTTACAGGGAAGTTACAGGTAGGTAAGAGAGGTATAATGAAGGTGGGTACAGGTGCTCTCTCAGACACTTGTGGACACGTGCAGGTGTTAGTCTGACTAGGTCTCTCTCTCTCTCTCTCTCTCTCTCTTACTGATACACACTGTACATACATACATACATACATACATACATACATACATACATACATCTAAGGCAGACAGTTACGCACCAGCCATATATTCATTGCCGTTTTCCAAGGGTCACTGCCACTGGTGTCGTAAACGAGTGACAATGCTGGCAGAAGCTTGATGGACGCTCCAACTTGGCTTTTTATTTATTTTTTTACCTCATACGATATTGATTTCTCTTGCTGGCGATGAGTACAATGATGCGGGTCTTCGATATGTCCTGTCAGGGTAGTTGAGTTTCTCTCCGCCTATATCACTGGTATCAAGGTTAACTAGTGTTGTTTCATTACATCATGACCGTATGGGAAGGAATGCCGGGCGTACACACACACACACACACATACATACACACACATACATACACACACATACACACACACACACATACATACACACACATACACACACACACACATGCACATACACACACATACACACACACACACACACACACACACACACACACACACACATACACATACACACACACACACACACACACACATACACTCACACACATACATACATACATACACACACACACACACACACACACACTCAACACTTTGTAATCCTCAGGTCCACCTTGTGTTGATGTTATGTTTGTTGAATGTTGCTCAGTCTTACCACACACAGACAGCCACTAACTACCATCACAGCCATTATACCACCTCTATGACCACAATCATTTCCCACCACTGAGCACCATAACCATCAGCACCATACACCACCAATCATTACTTCTATCCCCTCACCATCACAAACACCACAGTCACAACCACTACCTACTACCTACTACATCACACCACACATCTCTACCACAATATTATATAAACCTTTCCTCAACCCCATCTACCATCATTCCCTCCTTTTCAAACCCCACCATCATCACAACCACCACCACCACCACCACCACCACCACCACCACCATCACCACACCATCAACACAACGCACCAACATCATCATAACAAAGGAGTGGCAGGGAGGCGAGCATCACCCTTCAAGTCTTCAACAATACCGCCATCTACATATGAATCCCCCCCCCCCTAGATCAAGGTTACTCAGGATGTCATCTACTGTAAGGCCTCTAACTTCTTCTAAACTAGACAGATTTCAGTTACGTGTTAAGAAAATCAGAATGAGGTGATATTTTTATGATGTTGGTAGTATATGGTAATGAATGTCTCTGTACTTTAGAATCTAATCCTGTTTAAACTTTTGAAATACGAGTTGGATTCTAAGTTAGTTTGATCAGAACCTTCTTGCCGAGGCAGTAAGAACTAAACAAATCTTATCACCACAGAACATGACAAGGGAGCATTACCCTGAGGAACAATTTCATGATACCCGATTATATTAAGAGGGATCTGATGCATTAACTAAATCCCACTGCAACAGATTCTTCGCTCTCTTACCGAAATATTTTAATGTTGTTTATGTCTGGGTGAAATAAATCGTGAACATTGTGGAATGAAAATGATGGTAACTTTGTTTTTTTTTTCGTTCGGATCTGAGAAACGATGTGAGTTACGATATTTTCTAATATTAAGAATCTTAGGCCTATGTATACTTTCTGTTACAGGTGTGTGTGTGTGTGTGTGTGTGTGTGTGTGTGTGTGTGTGTGTGTGTGTGTGTGTGCAGCATATGAATCTAAATACACACCAGCATACATATAAATTTTCATATCAATTGAAGTATTCATGATTGTTTATGTATACTGAATGTGTATATATATATTAACATAAATATATATATCTAACCTCAATAAGCACCAGCGCTCCTCTGCTAAACTATCGGTTCATTCAGAAGTGTCATAGAAGCAGTATATAATGTATACCTGTATGGATGTAAATTGAGAAGTGGGTGGCCTTGAGCTTTCACACAGGTAAGCAAAGGTGTTCACAGGTGTCGAGTCTGAATTCATCTTTACATTATCCTGAAGTTGACTATCTATAACCTTATCAACCCCTCCCAACCCCCTTCAATTCCTCCCAATCCCACTCAACTCCTTTCAACCCCCTTCAATTCCTCCCAATCACCTCCAATCTCTTTCAATCCTCTTCAATTCTTCCGAATCCTTTTCAACCCCTCCCAATCGCTTTCAGTTCCTTCCAACCCTCTTTAACCCCCATAAATATCTTAATATTACCCATTCTGCCTCATTTTCAACCCCTCAACCTCAAACTCTCGTGCTCATCTCCTGAACCTCATCCTCATCCCCTGAACGGCATCCTCAATCCTTCAACCTCTTCCTCAACCCTTTAACGACATCCTCAACCCCTCAACCTTATCCTCATCCCCTCAACGCCATCCTCAATCCTTCAACCTCTTCCTCAACCCTTTAACGCCATCCTCAACCCCTCAACCTTATCATCAACCTCTCATTCGTCATCTTCCGTCTTGCTTTCGTGTTTTCTCATAGCAACAAAAATTTATATAACTTTTCATAATTTTTTTTTTCGTCAGCTCTGAAAAATCTCTCATATGACCGATATTTCAATCTTTTTGCATCTTCATTTTTAATTAGTAGGAAGGACGTCTGGTTAATAATGTTAATTAACTGATAAAAGAACGTTATTATTGAATGGAGTATTAATTTTCACGTACGAATATTAAAACCTTCACATTTTATTTTCATGTACTGTACTCGTAATCTTCAGTGAAATTTGTTATGTTGGTAAAAGCTCTTTGATAACGGACAGAAGATGATATGAAAGAAGTCAAATTTATTGTTGCTTTAGGATGTCGTATTTCTGTATAAATTTCACTAAAATGAGAAATAAAATCCCCAAAACGACTCATTAAATTAATTTCCGTAGATTAACAATATATGTACTTTATTACTATACTGAAATACTTAAAACATGGAATACACTCAACGCTTATGTACTTTTAGACTTAAATAAGATTTTAATATCAGTAAAAAAAAAAATACAGTTTTGATTACGAAAAAAGAATAGCGAAAATTATATTCATCTGAGTGTAAACCCGACCCATATCTGTCTTAACGATTACTACAATTATTCCTTAACTAACAGCACTAACTAGACGTACCAAACATCATTAAAACCGCCCAAATAGCTCAATTATCTCTGAATAATACAGTTTGACAAAGACACACACACACACAGAACAATAGGAACAGAACAGCATTTAAATCCAATATAGTAACGAGTTCTTTATTTTCAACCAGGAACAGAGAGGAAGCTTCAGATGGCACAACACAACACATGATGGACAGTGTTGGTGGTGAGTGTTGCGTTGCCATTTCAAGTCCATAATAACTCTTGACAATTAATAACATGAAGTAAGTATGTATGGAAGGTTGTACACA